AACTTGCAGTCACCTTTTAACTTGAAGAAAACTGGATCTGAATTATTTCTGGAGAAGCCAGCATGAGGTTGCACCAATAATATCAGTCTAGTCTAGTTTACTTAGTAGGAGTTCCTACCATTTATCTAAAATGGTTAAAAAACCAATTCCAGCAAGTAATCAGTATCATATCCCAAATGCGTGGATTGATGCTCATGATGTCAATCACTGGATTGTCTGGTCCAGACTCGATTACTTACAGACCGCCATCATATAGCTGGAAGATTGCTGAGTGCGTCGTTAAACAACAAACAAACAAACAAACAAAAGTATCTAAGTACATTGACTGGAATCACACTTTTGAAGTGTGTCAAGCATATACCTTTAATGAGGATGTTTACCAGTGTGCGTTAAGAATATTTAACTTTTGTTTTCAAAAATGGTATCTTTAACATCAAATGCAGCGTTAGAAATTGGCACTAGTCCTATAGTCCTTGCCAAACTGCCCAATTGTAAAGGTATCATAAGGACTAGTAGAAATTTGCCCTTTTTAAGGGTTTTGCTATATGTTATCATTATAAGGACTAGTGGACGAAAACTGTTAGTCTCTAACCCTGCAAATGCTGTTAACATGGAAAAAAGTCTCACTGGGTGCACCACTGCTCCAGATTTACAGGGCAAGTACAGTGAAAAGAATTATTGCGATTTTGTTGCATTTTTATCAATTGTCTTAAAATATTTAGGCAATTTAAGCAGTATTCCAGCAATATCAGGCGAGGGACACCAGAAATGGGCTTCACACATATCACCCATATAGGGAATAGAACCCAGGTTTTCTGTGTGACAAGCAAACACTTTAACCACCAGCCCCACCACCATTTTCTATAATGAGTTGACAGATGTACCATTAGCAGGGTTTACTCAGCTCATTATGATCCTGTATACCTGGTAAAACCAAGTCTGCATACACTGCATCAACACATCAGTCTCAGTCATGGTTTTCTGAAGAGCATGTCTAGTAACATGAGTAAGGAAACATTTTAATAATATAAGTACAGATCTGCTGATTAGACTGCTGTTAGGAAAATATATATGAACTTTAAAAATTCTGTTTTGATTCCTGTCTGATTCTTGAAACGGAATGACGTCCAACTGACACTCACTTGAAAGTCGGCCTGACATTGTCAAGCACTTTTCATTGACCCACAGCTAGGTTTGATGGAGAAATTGTTTTAAAACCTGTAACGTTTTAATTTTTTTGTTTATGACTGACCTCCCCAAAAAGAATTCATAAACAAATGTAAATCTAAAAAATGAAAGTCTGTGTCCTAATGATAAACATTTTGATAAAAAATTTAGTTAAAGTATGTTTGTATGACAACTAGTTCCACCAGCATGAACATGAACTTCCATGCTGGCCCCTACGCAGTTGTAGTGATTGTTTGCGGCCTATGCTCGAACATAACCACACATGGAGGACATAAACAAACACAAAGATTATTAACATCTTCCAAGTGGCCCTGGGGAATTCTTTTGGCCATATCATGGTCAGCATGGTCAAGGCCACAATATTGAAATCACCGACTAGTTGCACTTTTCCAAAATTATTAATGACTGTATCAATGCTATCATTAATTTGTGTAAGCACTTTCACTAGAATAGGGACCTGCTTTGTTAAAAAAATGAATATTTTTTTTCAAAGATCAAGGTCGGTGTTCCGTTTTTTTTAATGTCAATGTCTGTTTTCGGAGGCTTAGTTAACTCTACAGACATGAAACTCTATGTTTTCATGTAACTAATTTTGGTGTTGTCTCTTTCAATGGCTAAGGTCACCTGGGAGGATATTGTTAGACTGTTAATTATTGGATCTTAAGAAGTTAAGTTCAAGGTACAAGTACAAACAGACTACTGGTGACCAACAGTAGTTTTGAACTCTTCGACATTTCAGGAACATTTACAGACAGATATGTCATGATGAAAAGAAACATCACAGAGATTGTACTCTAAATAGATTAATTCATCAGTGGGAATATGATGGTACATGGCACAGATGAGCACATTATGGTAGATGGGCACATGGTGGTACTTTGGCACATCATGGTATTGGAACATGGTGGTATATCGACACATGGTGGTAGATGGGCACATGCTGGTAGATGGGCACATGCTGGTACATTGGCACATATGTTGGTAGATGGGCATATCATGGACGATGGGCACATGGTGGGTGATAAGAACATGATGGTAGATGGGGACATGGTGGTAGATGGCCATATGGTGGTAGATGGGCACATGGTGGTAGATGGGCACATTATGGTAGATGGGCACATCATAGTAGATGGACACATGATGGTACATTGGCACATGGTGGTATGTTGTCACATGGTGGTAGATGGCCATATGGTGGTATATCGACACATGATGGTAGATGGGGACATGGTGGTATATTGGCACATGGTAATAGATCGGCATATGGTGGTACGTTGGCACATGGTAATAGATCGGCACATGGTGGTACGTTGGCACATGGTGGTAGATGGGCACATGGTGGTAGATGGGCACATGGTGGTACATTGGCACATGGTGGTACGTTGGCACATGATGGTAGATGGGCACATGATGGTAGATGGCGATATGGTGGTAGATAGGCACAGATGGGTATACGTTGGTAGAATTGCACATGATGGTAGATGGGCACAGATGGGAACATGGTGGTAGATGGGCACATGATGGGAGATGGTCGTGTGATTGAAGATGGGCACAGATGGGAACATGGTGGTAGATGGGCACATGATGTTAGATGGTCGTGTGATGGTAGATGGGCACAGATGGGAACATGGTGGTAGATGGGCACATGATGGTAGATGGTCGTGTGATGGTAGATGGGCACAGATGGGAACATGGTGGTAGATGGGCACATGATGGGAGATGGTCGTGTGATGGAAGATGGGCACAGATGGGAACATGGTGGTAGATGGGCACATGATGTTAGATGGTCGTGTGATGGTAGATGGGCACAGATGGGAACATGGTGGTAGATGGGCACATGATGGTAGATGGTCGTGTGATGGTAGATGGGCACAGATGGGAACATGGTGGTAGATGGGCACATGATGGTAGATGGACACATGGTGGTAGATGGGCACATGATGTAAGATGGTCGTGTGATGGTAGCTGGCACAGATGTTCCATTGTCCAAGTGTGCCTTATCTCATCAAGAGTTGTGTTCCTTAGATCCAGCAGTTGACTGACACTGAATTTAATCCTTGATCTATCAGTACCATAGCCATGTTGTGGTTATCAGGGTAAATCATCCTAATAGTCTAGAGGCTAAGGCTTGTAGAAGGCTTAGAAAAAAGGTTGTTCAACACCTAAAAGGTCTGACGATACAGTTTGGTCCAGGAAAGCATACTAGACATTTTGGCTACCTATAATTTAGGATTACATAGTAGGGCTGGGTCGAGTGCAACTTTACCACCAGGTACCCACCCTGCTATTACTCGACCCTAACCAGGTACCTGTTATAGGTCTCAAGAGTTGGGTAGGAAGTGTCTGATTGGGAATAGTTTGACCGTAGCCCTGGTAAAATGTATTTAGATACACGTATAAAACGATCTGTTCATGCATATACAGTATTTGACTGAAGTTTTATCTTTATTCATACCTATTACAGTCAGAAGGAATGGGTGCATAGTCAGAAAGAAATGCGAACATTAGTGACTTGTAGTGTAACCACGGAGTTCCAGATAATTTTTGTCATTAAACAGTATATCAAATGACTCGCCACGGGTCTGGGTAGTCCTGTGGGTACCCGGGTCCTACTTCGTACCCACCCGACACGAGTACCCGAGTTACCAGTCCCAGCCCTAATACATGGGACCTAAAAATGTTCAGGAATCACAACTGGACCAAACTTTAGTCACACCTTTCATGTAGCAGGTGTTGAACAAAACTTTATCTCCCCGGCTGTGCTCCTTTACTATAAATGTCCACAACCTCCTCCACTTTGAACCTTCCATTTGGAGCTGCCAGGCTGATCTGTTATTGTCTGTGGGAAGCAGCACTGGAGCCACCCATGCCTTCACTTTAGGATCTGAAGTGAAGACTCATCTTCATAGACGCGACTTAACCTAGACCTGAAATCACTTTCATATTCTCAAGCTGACATTTAGTTCATGTTTAATTGCATTTATGCAACTACAATGTTTTGTGTATGATCATCACTTGCTGTAACTAATGGAGATTGATAGCTCGGATCAATACAAACACAGAGTCATCAGTCTGCTGTGTCAGAGCATGTCACTGTCCAAGGCTGTCTCTGCATGCAACCTTGTCATGCAGCACAAGCAGCTTATGATGCCAGCCTTTCGTCCTTGTACACTGTCCCCACACACACACAACTTGCACTCCACGGCCAAGGTAGTTGACTTAGCAATGGATTTTTGGCGAAAGAAGGAAGTAAATTTGTTCTTTTTTGGTAAGATGCTATGATGGTAGATATTAATGATGATCCTATGGTCATTGAGAGTGGCTGCTTTAAATATGTTAATATATTTACCCCCTAACTCTATAAGTTTTGACTGTTATGACAATTATGCATTTGTTATGGTTGCATCAAGATGTCATAACACAGGTCTGTTGACCGTTGTAACATGGAGGTTGGTGTGTTCCATGATGTATGCCGAAGTTTGAATACTTGATCAAAGGAAACAGATAGTATATGTTGTGTCTCTTCGTCTGCAATGGCTATCGGCTGGTCAATGAGTTCATGTGCAAATGAAAAAATCATCTATAATATCTTGTACCCTCTGCTAATGCAGGAAAAATATTGGACACTTGCCTACGAGACCAAAGATATCCTTTGGATAATTGTTTTTTTAACAGCATATGTTCGTCATTATTAGGAAAGTGCTGAAAAGGGGTTATTTCGGAAATAAACAAGACTTGGAATAATGAGTTGTTAGTTAGACTTGTGCTCATGTCTGATGCAAGTTCCTCCCATGTTGTGTATTGTGTTGCAGAGAAGGCAGCAGACTCTCTGACCCCAGGCCAGGAAGTGAGGCCCAGCGGATACTCCGAGTATTTGGAGTCCCACCGAGACAAGCCATGGGAGTCCGTGGCGGAAGTTCCTGTCTCTGGACTTGGCTTGCAGATGGGGTACGGCCTGGCAGGGAAGGGGACCTTGGAAGGTAGCATGTACGACTATGATACTCCATATGACGCTGGAGGTAACAGGAAACACGACTTCATCGATGCCACACATCTAGCTAATCTGAAGAAGAATGTCACAAATGTGGAGTTTGGCCGAGGTGACTTGGACCTGGGAGGTAGCATCCAGTATGGCAGTGGTAGCAGGCAGGATGGTCTTCAGTACAAGAATAGCTTGTCTGACAAGGAGGCTGATCTAGTCTCCATGAGTAATGATCTGTGTATTGAACCAAATTCAGTTTTGACATTGAGAGCTTCAGGAGAGGCGGAGAAGGAGCACTGGAACAATTCGGATCAGGGCATTATGCATGGTGATAATGATATTGATAATTCTATGTATTCCAAACATAATGGCGTAGTAGTTAATGACAACTTCCAGAACTCGACTAAAGGCTTGGTGGCTTCCCAGGTGACAGCAGTGCAGACTGACGCCTTGACACCAAGAACTGAGAGAGAACTCGATTCCGTACCGTTTCCAAAATCTGACATCATTGTTGTTGGACATGGAAACTCTGAGGTTAATGTTATAGCTAATTTCCATGAACATAATTCAATACCCATTGGTTCTCAACCACATGCCCCCTATCAGCATTCTGCGCCCTATGCAAGGCTTGAGTGTGTGCCAACAAGACAGAGTCAGGCAGACCCTGTGCAGAAGGATTCCAACGGCAAACCAACAGATAAGCCAACTGGCATGCAGATTCCTGATAATGTAAATGGGACACAATCAGGTCAAGGTCATTTCCAGTCCACAGGGGGAACAACTGTGGGGTTTGACAGTGTTAGTGGTGATATTGATGAAGATGAAATCGATCAGTATCTCAATGACTCATTGGACTCGTCTGACTCCAAGCAACAAAACCAGCCAAGTGCTGTTGTAAATACTGATGAGCTGAGTGCTCAGCATGGAATAACAAAACAGGTTATTCAAAATCCAGACATTGTGCTCGACATCGGAAGAAGTGAAAACTTCATGCATGATCAAAAGGGCAATGTGCAATATTCTGCTCCACCAGGAGCTGGTGACATGGCAAACGTTCCTTCGCAGATCCCTCGGTCAGAGGGGACGGATGTGACAGGGAACCAGAATCAAGTCTGTGAATCACTGAATAGTAAACAGTTGCAAAGTGCATACAACGGTTCTGATGTGTTGCCACAGACTGAATGTCAAGGTCAGGTGACAGTTTCAAATCTTGTTCCCACTCTTCAAAACAACTCCAGAGTTTCGTCTGATTCCAGGGCAGAACAAGGTTCCTTTGGAAATCAGAACTCTACATCAGAAGAATCATCTTTAAGTGATGTTGGGAGAACTGGCAGTGCTGGTGGGTCTCCAGAGGCCAACTCCAGCCCCACCGAGCAGGGCAGTCCCCCCATTGTCGGGGTAGGAGCCAGACCTAAAGATCCATCCGCTATTAAAAAGAATCGCCCTAATAGTTTATTAGGACTTTCAAAAATCAATATGGATTCTCCATATAATATTGTCCATGAGGTTTCTGAAACTTCTGAATCTGTAGCTCAAATGGCTGAAGGACATTTGCAACCAGAGTCATCACAGAGTGGTGACATGGTTGCTAGTGAGGTGACGGGGCCTGCCCCTGGCAGTGGGAGTCAGTATGGAGGTAGTTTCTCGCAGCCTCCTGGAGGACTGGTTGGGGAGGATCCTGCTCCTGGCAGTGAACACAAGCAACTGACAAACTTTGAGATCCGCCAACAGATAGAGCAGGAGCAGAGACAGAGGATGGACAGGATGCCGGCCGAGCAACACAATAACCAGCTAAACCAACAAGATGGACATCCTGATGATGGGAGGATGGAGGGGGAGACTAGTGAAGATGAGGTGGTTGGAGAGGTGACTGCCCTTGCTGGAGCTGGGGAGACGATGGACGACATGCCGATAATGAGGCGGGGTGAGGAGCAGCTTGTCCAGCCAGGGCTCAACGTACAGGCAGGTAAGTGGCCCTGTTATTGCCTTGACACATGCTCTTAGGATTAATTACTTAGCTCTGTGGCTTTATTGTTAATAACAGCAGATTTGTTTCTGTATGTGGATACATAAGTACAGTTGTAGGATACCTGTTGATACAGTTGGTTGTTTCCAGGTATGCCTGCCCGGCCCCACTCCTGGAGTCCAGGATCAGGTCAGATAGCCCCCCCTGGCAAGCTAAGGCGCCCCACCAGTCTGAATCTGCCCCCTCGGGGAGAGCTGGCTATGCCCGGAGACCGATCCCCAGACACGAGTGGGCGGATGCGGGGCATTGGCATGATGCAGGAGGAAATCCCCGAGGAGGAGACTGCAGAGCAGTCAGGTAAGTACACAGTCCACGGTTGTCATGGAAAATATGTAAACATTGTTACAAATAAGAGAGTATTATAGGTTCCTTGATGTTATCCCCCATATTTGGATATGGGGATCTCCTATTTTTGTCTGAAAACAATGTTAATATTGTAACATTCCTGACAACAATTTGTTAACATGTGATATAATTTCATCAATTTTCATTAACAGAAAAAAAGTAACAAAAATGGCATTATTGTATATAAGTCGACTATTCCTTCTGAATGGCACTCCTTGTTCATGTGTATGTACCGACAGGTCAGCATCTGATTGTATGTTGTGCTTGCAGTGGGGGAAGAGTACAGTGAAGGGGACGAGGGGCTCATGGAGGCTTCTGGGGTAACAGAGGAGGAGGGTTCTCTACCCATGTCCAGTGAGCCTCCCCCGCCCTCCATCATCCACTCCAACCTGGGTCGGGTTGCCCCCACCTGGGTGCCGGACCACGAGGCACCAAACTGTATGCAGTGCCTGTCCAAATTCACCTTCACCAAGAGGCGGCATCACTGCAGAGCCTGTGGCAAGGTCAGTTAGGTCACTGTGAGGAGTCGAGAAGCAAGCCAGGTCAACTCACGTTTCCATCCATCTTATCATAGTCCATATGATCATAGTAAATTAGGCAGATAATTGTGCCAAGATACAGATTTACGCTAGTTGAGTCAGAAGTGTTTTGCATTGGCTGAGTAGGCGAAAATTGTTTTAATACTTTGTTAGACCGATACCAAGTCAGTTACATGATCATATTGTAGGAGAATTCTGTGTAACGACCTTTCTAATCAAAAAACAAATTGTTTAACATTTATGTTTGTGAAGCTACGAGTTATTAACCATCATATGTGCAGCCTAGTTTCTTCTGACTAGGTCTGTAGTTTCTGTGTGATGTCTTCCAAAATAGGTAGCAATTAATAAAAGCATATCCGCTGATGAGGTAGAACATCTTAGTCTCCGGGGCAAGACTCGTGTCTCTTTTCACCTGTTATATTGATGTGTAGGTGTATGCAGTGGTTGTCTGTTCTGCAGGTGTTCTGCTCTACATGCTGCAGCCAGAAGAGTGCTCTGGCCTACATGGACTTGAAGGAGGCCCGGGTGTGTCAGCAGTGTCATCAGCTTCTGCAGTCAGGTGAGACACAGTACCAGGACAGACAGACAAGGAACCTCAAAGACAGATGGACTTACAGATGGACAGACAAGGAACCTCCAGGACAGTCAGGGGACCACCAGGACAGATGGACAGACAGACAAGGAACCTCCAGGACAGACAGGGAACCACCAGGACAGACAGGGAACCACCAGAATAGACAGACGGACAGACAAGGAACTTCCAGGACAAACAGGGAACCACCAGGACAAACAGGGAACCACCAGGACAGACAGGGAACCACCAGAACAGACAGACAGGGAACCCCCAGTACAGACAGACAGACAAGAAACCTCCAGGACAGACAGGGAACCTCCAAGACAGACAGACAGACAAGAAACCTCCAGGACAGACAGGGAACCTCCAAGACAGACAGACAGACAAGAAACCTCCAGGACAGACAGGGAACCACCAGTACAGACAGACAGACAAGAAACCTCCAGGACAGACAGGGAACCTCCAAGACAGACAGAGAGACGGACAGGGAACCTCCAGGACAGACAGACAGACAATGAACCTCCAGGACAGACAGACAGACAATGAACCTCCAGGACAGACAGGGAACCACCAGGACAGACGGACAATGAACCTCCAGGACAGACAGACAACCATCACGATGGACAGACAGTTGTACCACCAGGACAATCAAGCAGCAGGACGTACAGTCAACCACTCAACAATCAACTACCAGGACAGACAGACAATCAACTACCAGGACAGACAGACAATCAACTACCAGGACAGACAGACAATCAACTACCAGGACAGCCAGTCAACTATCACGATTGACAGACAGTTCTACCAACAGGACAATCAACCAGCAGGACGTACGATCAACCACTCGACTATCAACGATCAGGACACACAAACTGTGAGATAGACTCAGGACATGGTGTGTTCATTTTGACAGCAAAGTGGGGTTGCCAATGAAGAGGAGGATGAAGAAGGAGGACACTGTATCACAGCCTCTTTCCTAGAGAGTTTTTCACCTAACTTTGACTAATGCCTCTATAGACACACAACACCCTCACCACTACCATCTCCTTGATGGTCACTGATCGTTCAAGCTTCCTGATAAACCTGGAGAAGGCCTCTCAACTCATATCCTCCTCTGTCAGTCACATGTGGGCGGGGCACTGTCAGACCACCTGTCTATCTTCTTTGATTGACATCTAGTGAGCATGTTCCTAGACTACTGCATCTTCAGCTTTCTCGCATGTGTCGGTGCCTAATCCAGTGTTTGTGTGTGTCGGCCCTTATAACAATGAAACTATACAAACTTGTCTGGCCATATTTTGAGAAAACATATAGAAATAGTGCAAAAGTAATATTCCCTTCCTGTAACTACTTCCAGAAAAAGAAAGAGAAAAAAACTTTTTTGTGGGGAGGTAAGACTTGAAACTAGGGTTTCATTGTGGAACATGCCAATGAAGTTGATAACTAATAGTTTCTGTAAATAATATGGGACCATTGTCAAACTTGTGCCTTTATTGGATTGGTGGTTGCTCCAAATGCTTGCATGTGATTGGCTTGCTGTCATCATGTGATCACGTGTGGCGGCTGGCTCATCCTGCTTTCTGCTTGGTGTTCCCAGCTGATTGGTCGCCGACCGGTGGTTCGTCTCGCCGGAGCCCCAACCCCAATAACCCCAGCGAATACTGCTCTACTATTCCACCTCAGCAGCAGGCTAATGCACGTGCCCCCCTGCCCACTGTTTTGGTACCGGTGGGCGTCCTTAAACGAGAGGGTGAGTTGTAGCCATGCTGGTGCCTTCAGTCTCAACTCATCAACAGATTTATCCAGATGTTCGATTGTTTGCTCATGTTAATAGAACTTTCAAGCCAAATCAATAAACACACATATCAATAATTTTAATGGTGGATGTTCTTGTTTTGTTTACTGTGAAACAGTGTTTCAGTTTGTTGCCCACTTCATTATAGCTCTTCTCCAACATGCATAGAATCAGGATGTATACGGTGTTTATCCTGAGAAGCGTGTGTTATGTACCCAGCTCTCCAATCACCCCTAGTTTCGGCTTCCTCCATCATCTCTTCTGTTGATTCAGTTGCACTCGTTTCACTCTGTTCTTCATCACACGATTAATACAGTTCGGGAATTTTTCGACTACCATTTTTACTTCCCTTTTGCATTTTAGTATCTGGTCTCAAAATTGTTTAAGTGATGTTTTCATTCATTTTATGTGTTTTTTTATAGTTTGAATGGCTTAATTGTTCCTTTTCACCTTATTTGTGTTTTCTATGATTTGTGTTGAATGTTGCTGTGGCCTGGTAGCTAGCTAGATAGTGACTTGCATGCTGTCTGTGGGTGTCGCTCTGGTCCAATTTTTCTCCCACTCCTTGTGTAGGGAGCCAGCGAAGAGCGGAGCCTAAACAAGTGATGTTCTCGGATGGGATTCGGCCAGGCGGAGATTTGACAGAGCTGGATGGGTCTAGTGAAGCTCGACTTCCCCCCCGGCGGACGGGACGACTTCAGAAGAAGGTGGAGAAGGCACAAGGTGAAATTTATCAAAATGTGGCTTTTGTGTAGGATTATGCATGTTCTTGCCTTGTCATATTTTGAGATTGAACAATCTCTTTGTTACCTTTGAAGTGAGGAGGGATCAGTTTTAATACTTTCTGTCAATGATTTATCAGTGATGATGTGAAAGTATAATTACGTAATCAAAACAGTGAATTGATAAATTTGAAGTGTCTTACAGAGATGCTTTAACATTACATTTGTGGCTACGATCTGGACAAGTATATTCTAGTAGTTCTTCTTCAGTCATAACAATCAGTCCTACCACAGTGGTACTTTGCTGGGTTTTTTCACTGCTTTCATTCTTATTGCTGCTGGTGTGACATATTTCTCTGTGTCTTTGTCCATGACACATGTGGCACTGACATGGGGATTCCGGGTGGGAATTGGTCCCAAACAACCTATGGCCGTCGTACAATTGGGATTATGGGTGGGAATTGGTCCCCAGCAACCTATGCTGGTTGTACTGTGGGGATTTCGGGTGGGAATTGGTCCCAAGCAACCTATGGCCTCGTACAATTGGGATTATGGGTGGGAATTGGTCCCCAGCAACCTATGCTGGTTGTACTGTGGGGATTCCGGGTGGGAATTGGTCCCAAGCAACCTATGGCCCTCATACAATTGGGATTCAGGGTGGGAATTGGTCCCCAGCAACCTATGCTGGTTGCACTGTGGGGATTCCGGGTGTTCATTGGTCCCCAACAACCTATGCTGGTTGTACTGTGGGGATTCCGGGTGATCCAGACTTGCTTATTTGCAGGCCATACATAATACAGCTGGAAATTATGCTGAATATAGCTGTCAACACAGCACTTGACACAGCGTTGAACATCCAACACCGCTCACGTTAGGATTGTTATATCACATTTGGTTACAAGGCTTACATCATAACAAATTCTGTTGTTGTGTGTTTGATGTTCACGTTTGATATTGACCCATAGTGGTGCATAGGAATGGGTTGGAGGAGAGTATATAGGAATGGGTGGGGGAAGGGGATATGGGAATGGGTGGGAGAAGGGGATATGGGAATGGGTGGGAGGAGGGGGATATAGGAATGGGTGGGAGGAGAGTATATAGGAATGGGTGGGGGAAGGGGATATGGGAATGGGTTGGTAGAAGGGGATATGGGAATGGGTGGGAGGAGGGGGATATAGGAATGGGTGGGAGGAGAGTATATAGGAATGGGTGGGAGAAGGGGATATGGGAATGGGTGGGAGAAGGGGATAAAGGAATTGGTGGTCGAAGGGGGATGTAGGAATGGATGGGAGGAGGGAGATGTAGGAATGGATGGGAGGAGGGTATGGTATATAGGAATGGGTGGGAGGAGGGGATATAGGAATGGGTGGGAGGAGGATATATAGCAATTGGTTTGGAGGAGGGGATATGGGAATGGGTGGGGGAAGGGGGATTTAGGAATTGATGGTAGGAGGGTATGGTATATAGGAATGGGTGGGAGAAGGGGGATATAGGAATGGGTGGGGGAAGGGCATATAGGAATGGTTTGGAGAAGAGGATATAGGAATGGGTGGGAGAAGGGGATATAGGAATGGGTGGGGGAAGGGGGATATAGGAATGGGGAGATATAGGAACGGTTGTGGGGAGGGGGATGTAGGAATAGATGGGAGGATGGGGATGTAGGAATAGATGGGAGGAGGGAGATGTAGGAATGGATGGGAGGAGGGTATGGTATATAGGAATGGGTGGGAGGAGGGGATATAGGAATGGGTGGGGGATGGGCATATAGGAATGGTTTGGAGGAGAGGATATAGGAATGGGTGGGGGAAGGGGGATATAGGAATGGGTGGGAGGAGGGGGATGTAGGAATAGATGGGAGGAGGGAGATGTAGGAATGGATGGGAGGAGGGTATGGTATATAGGAATGGGTGGGAGGAGGGGATATAGGAATGGGTGGGAGAAGGGGTGGGGGAAGGGCATATAGGAATGGTTTAGAGGAGGGGATATAGGAATGGGTGGGGGAAGGGGGATATAGGAATGGGTGGGAGAAGGGGGATGTAGGAATAGATGGGAGGAGGGAGATGTAGGAATGGATGGGAGGAGGGTATGGTATATAGGAATGGGTGGGAGGAGGGGATATAGGAAGGGGTGGGGGAAGGGCATATAGGAATGGTTTAGAGGAGGGGATATAGGAATGGGTGGGGGAAGGGGGATATAGGAATGGGTGGGAGAAGGGGGATGTAGGAATAGATGGGAGGAGGGAGATGTAGGAATGGATGGGAGGAGGGTATGGTATATAGGAATGGGTGGGAGGAGGGGATATAGGAATGGGTGGGAGAAGGGGTGGGGGAAGGGCATATAGGAATGGTTTAGAGGAGGGGATATAGGAATGGGTGGGGGAAGGGGGATATAGGAATGGGTGGGAGAAGGGGGATGTAGGAATAGATGGGAGGAGGGAGATGTAGGAATGGATGGGAGGAGGGTATGGTATATAGGAATGGGTGGGAGGAGGGGATATAGGAAGGGGTGGGGGAAGGGCATATAGGAATGGTTTAGAGGAGGGGATATAGGAATGGGTGGGGGAAGGGGGATATAGGAATGGGTGGGAGAAGGGGGATGTAGGAATAGATGGGAGGAGGGAGATGTAGGAATGGATGGGAGGAGGGTATGGTATATAGGAATGGGTGGGAGGAGGGGATATAGGAATTGGTGGGATAAGGGGGATATAGGAAGGGGTGGGGGAAGGGCATATAGGAATGGTTTAGAGGAGGGGATATAGGAATGGGTGGGGGAAGGGGGATATAGGAATGGGGAGATATAGGAATGGGTGGGAGAAGGAGATATAGGAATGGGTTGGCGAAGGGGGATATAGGAATGGGTGGGAGAAGGAGATATAGGAATGGGTGGGAGAAGGGGGATATAGGAATGGATAGGAGGAGGGGGATGTAGGAATGGATGGGAGAAGGGGGATGTAGGAAGTGGTTGGAGGATATGGTTAAGGGCATCAGTTGGCAAGAAGCAATCAGTATATGAGTGGTGTCATTGGCTCTTTTTGTCCCAGGCAGTGCTTGTGGTCTCGGCCTTGAGCATTGCACTCAATGGAACATATGATCGGTGGAGGAAATGATTATTTCAAGCTAGTATTCGTATAATTAATGGAGGATTAATAAATATATTTGGAATTTAATGAATTTTATAGATTTCTTTTGTGTAAAAAGCATGTTATTTGTTACTTGAGAGAAAAAATTGTCATTTCTTTTGTAAATTATAGAATATTTGTTCTTAGTGATGTTGTAACCATGGCAACAGGATGAGCCATGTTTGGATCATCTGTCGATTTGTTTGAGCAGCAAATCATTTGACAAATCTTCTGTTTGTAATCTCTAACACTGATAGTGATGTGTTATGTTAGGTGGACAATCCTCACCCAAGACCAGGAGGCTGAGAGGAAGTGAGAATGCGAGGAACAGGTGCTTTATCCCAGAAGATGGTCTGCCCCCACTGTACTCTCTCACAGATGCAGGAGGTGAGACTAGCTGCAGTAGAGTGCTAACTGACTCATTCGCCTTGATAGCCTTCTTGACTAGCTCCAGTAGATTGGTTGATGTTTAGCCTGGCTGTTGCATTAAAAGAATCCATTCTTTCTTTTGCAGATGTCAGTCTGGAAGATAACTATGACCCAGACAAGCATTTGCCACAGATTAAAAGTAAGGACAGATACTTTGAAATCCACATTAATCATTATATTAATGGACCAAATATTTTAGGGGTTTCGAATAAAATGAAGTATGTTGAATATTGTTTGAATGGGAGAAAGGTTTTGCAGGGACAAGTGATTTCAGTGAGTGAATGGTGTTTTATACCTCCAACTATATTCCTGTGTTCAAAAAGTATTGGAAGTCTGTGCCAAAGACACTTCAGTAGCATCTGTAACACAAGTGATGTTTTTCACAACTTTTAGCATCATATGATGATGTATAAACAACAGAAAGCTTTACATTTTGTGCCCATGTGCATGGTGTTAAAGCCATCTTTTCTTGTCTTGTTTCCAGATGACGAAGCTGAACCCATCATATTTGCAATCAACAGCAACCTGCAGGTGCTTGTCAAGATCCTCATGTGTAAGTAGCATTTAGCCACTTTTCACTTCTTCCTTACAAGCATGGCTTTGCGCCATCAGTTGTACTTGTCAAAGTCTATGTGAATTTTGACCGCCAGAGCGTCATACCAAAAGACGTTAAAAGATGGTACTTGTTGTTACCCTGTCTGGCGCTTGGCATTAAGGGGCTAAAACAAGGACTGGTCTGCTCGGAGTCAGTATACTGGGTCTGAGTGGGGTATTTATGTTAAACTGCGGCATAGTATCTCAGTGAGCTAGCACTATAAATCTGCATCAGTTTGGACTAGTACAAGCAGCCCCCCACACACACATACACGTGCATGTACGTCACTATATAAGTGCAATAATCTTGGACGCAACGTTTAACCCCATTTCACCTCACCACCTATATGAATGTTTTTGGCAGAACTCATTTATAACAGAATGGATTTTTTTTGGGTTGTAACAATACAGTCTATGTGTAACTTATGTTTAGATGGTATCTAGTGGTCAAGTGGATAGAGCATTTGCCCAGAGAGCGGAAGGTTTGGTGGTTCGATCCCCACCACTAATCACTTCTTCCTTACAAACATGGCTATTAGTTGTACTTGTCAAAGTCTGTATGATTTTTTGGGCAAAGCTCATTTATAACAGAATGGATTTTTTGTGGGTTGTAACAATAAAACAAGGACTGGTCTGCACAGAGTCAGTATGCTGTGTCCACGAAGGATAACCATTATAAACTGCAACATGGAGTCTCAGTGGGCTAGCACTATAATATCAGCTTAAGTCTGGCCTACTACAAGCAGCCATACACATACACACGTGCATTCAAAAGACCTGTGAAGATCCAGGGTAGATATGGTCTTCAGCAACCCATGCTTGCCGTGAAAGGTGACTATGCTTGTCATAAGAGGCGACTAACGGCATCAGGTGGTCAGGCTCGCTGACTTGGTTGATGCATGTCATCGACCCCAATTGGGTGGATCGATGCTCATGATGTCCTTCACTGGATTATCTGGTCCAGACTCGATTATTTTCAGACCGCCGTCATATAGCTGGAATATTGCTAAACAACAAATAAACAAACAACTAGCATGCAATAACTGCAATAACCTTGAACACAATGTTAAACCCCATTTCACCTCACCACTTTCTACTCCCGTGGACTTGGTCTGAAAACTCGCCCGATATCCCGGATGTTTTCTTGGACTCATGATCAAGGTCACCAAGTTCCAATGTTTGTATGTAAATGACGTAGTGAGAACTGAAGACAGTTTGACAGAATTTAAACAAATTAGAATGCTGGTTTGGACAAATTCCTGAAGCTATTTAGCTTTAGCAAACTAAACACAGGATTTATTCCTTCACTCGGCTAATTGTTGAATGTTGAGAAATGTTAGTATGGATACTGGAATGTTGATGCGATGTTAGTGACTTGTTGCCATGGGTACAGTGGACTGTTGCGTGAACCGTGAATGCTGGTCCTTCACGACGCGTGGCCTGTGCACCGTGGGTCAGGACGAGATTGTCATCATCCTGGAGTGTTTCCCTGACGAGAGCCGACCTGCCAGGGACATCTTCTGCCACTTTGCCACCATGTACGAGGAGGCCGGGAAAGGTGGGTACACTGGCAGACATTTCTATACAAACCATGTACGAGGAGGCCGGGAAAGGTGGGTACACTGGCAGACATTTCTATACAAACCATGTACGAGGGGGCCGGGAAAGATGGGTATATTGCAGGCATTTCTACATACACCATGTACAAGAAGGCCGGGAAAGATGGGTACACTGGCAGACATTTCTATACAAACCATGTACGAGGAGGCCGGGAAAGATGGGTACACTGGCAGACATTTCTATACAAACCATGTACGAGGAGGCAGGGAAAGGTGGGTACACTGGCAGACATTTCTATATACGCCATGTACGAGGAGGCCGGGAAAGATGGGTATATTGCAGGCATTTCTATATACACCATGTACGAGGAGGCCGGGAAAGATTGGTATATTGCAGGCATTTATATATACACCATGTACGAGAAGGCCGGGAAAGATGGGTATATTGCAGGCATTTCTATACAAACCATGTACGAGGAGGCAGGGAAAGGTGGGAACACTGGCAGACATTTCTATATACGCCATGTACGAGGAAGCCGGGAAAGATGGGTATATTGCAGGCATTTCTATATACACCATGTACGAGAAGGCCTGGAAAGATGGGTATATTGCAGGCATTTCTATATACACCATGTACGAGAAGGCCTGGAAAGATGGGTATATTGCAGGCATTTCTATATACACCATGTATGAGGAGGCCGGGAAAGATGGGTATATTGCAGGCATTTCTATACAAACCATGTACAAGGAGGCCGGGAAAGGTGGGTGCACTGGCAGACATTTCTATACACACCATGTACGAGGAGGCCGGGGAAATGGGTATATTGCAGACATTTCTATATACACCATGTACAAGGGAAAGATGGGTATATTGCAGACATTTCTATACACACCACAGACGAGGAGGCCGGGAAAGGTGGGTATATGGCAGACATTTCTATATACACCATGTAAGAGGAGGCCGTGAAAGATGGGTATATTGCAGGCATTTCTATACAAACCATGTACAAGGAGGCCGGGAAAGGTGGGTGCACTGGCAGACATTTCTATATACACCACGTAAGAGGAGGCCGGGAAAGATGGGTATATTGCAGACATTTCTATACACACCACAGACGAGGAGGCCGGGAAAGGTGGGTACACTGGCAGACATTTCTATATACACCATGTACAAGGGAAAGATGGGTATATTGCAGACATTTCTATACACACCACAGACGAGGAGGCCGGGAAAGGTGGGTACACTGGCAGACATTTCTATATACACCACGTAAGAGGAGGCCGGGAAAGATGGGTATATTGCAGACATTTCTATACACACCACAGACGAGGAGGCCGGGAAAGGTGGGTATATGGCAGACATTTCTATATACACCACGTAAGAGGAGGCCGGGAAAGATGGGTATATTGCAGACATTTCTAGATGAGCTTTAAGCATTTGTCAAGAATTTCATCATAAAGGTACAGGCTAGTGACAGTGACTACAGTACAACGGTACAAGTTCACAGCATACCCTGGTTGTTGTTAACAGACAGTACAGCCTAGTGACAATATCCAAGTGTATCACTAGTGTCAGCACAAAAATCTTGCCCCAGTAATTGTCATGCAGCATGACAGTGTTGTAGATGGCGTTCTGCTACTTGCTGCCACTAATCCCCATCTGCTTGCTACAGGTAACACTGTGTCAGACATGGGGCACACAATCTTCAACCAGAGTTTCCTGGACAGTCGAGACCACGGAGGCTTCCTCTACCTGCGACCAACTTTCCAGTGTCTGCAGAAGCTGCTGCTGCCATCACCACCACATCTGTTTGGCGTCCTGCTACAGAAGTGGGAGACGCCCTGGGCCAAAGTGTTCCCCCTACGACTCCTGCTCCGACTGGGGGCTGAATACAGATGTAAGCACTGCTCTATTGCTGTACTGACTTCAATTTTATTTTGCATTTATGGAGGTATAAACATAAAAAGCGGTCTGCACAAAATCGGTTGTTATATATAAGTAAGTCAATGCCAGTGACATCATTCAGCCCAAAATTGTTTGGTTAGCCAATCAAATGCCACGGAGTCACTTGCTGTTTTTTTTATATTGAAATGAACTAATTTGAATTAACAGTTTATTATATTTACATGGAAGAATTGCAGGTGGTGAGAGTCACCTGGCACATCTAAAGGTCCACCATGTGTATTTAGTCTTTAATTCAATCCACAGACTACCCCTGCCCTCTGGTGAGTATCCGCAACCGCAAGCCAGTGTTCTTCGAGATTGGCCACACCATCATGAACCTGCTGGCCGACTTCCGGAACTACCAGTACATGCTGCCACAGATTCGAGGGGTCCACATACACATGGAGGACAAGAAGACCGTCATCAACTTCCCTCGCAACAGATACGATGAGGTGAGCTACATAACATATTACCCTTCAGCCATGTGAACGAGTAAAGCTGATTGTGGTTTCAAGGTAGTGTTGTTTCACTCAGGAAACTTGCAATAAATAAAGAAAGCCTCCCAAAAGGGTATGGTCTGTAGACATGAGATGAATAATTGTCAGACCAGTGCAATAAAGAAAAAAGAAAAATCAAGTCGGGTCACCTTGCCATCTGGGCCCTGTTTGACATCGCGATCTTTTCGCTAAGATGATCGTAACTCCCATGCCTCAACATTGACCTGCGACAGCGCTAAGATGATCGTAACTCCCATGATTTAGCATTGCTCTGTGACAGCGCGAAGACGATCGTAATTCCCATGCTTTAACATTGCTCTGTGACAGCGCGAAGACGATCATAACTGCCATGATTTAGTATAGACCTATGACAGCGCTAAAATGATCGTAACTGCCATGCTTTTTAGCATAGCCCTATGACAGCGCTAAGATGATCGTTACTGCCATGCGTTAGCATAGCCCTATGACAGCGCTAAGATGATCGTTACTGCCATGCATTAGCATAGACCTATGACAGCGCAAAGATTGCCTTGTGGATTAAGGCCATGATGTCTCTTTTTGCTGCAGCTGATGAAGATGGTGAACAGCAGTAATGAGCATGTGATGGCCCTGGGCTCCAGCTTCAGTGCGGATGCGGACTCCCACCTGGTGTGTATTCAGAACGACGAGGGCAACTATCAAACACAGGCCATCAACATCCAGAACAAACCTCGCAAAGGTCAGTTTTCATTCCTCCAACTGTCCACGACCTCCACCATTGTGACCTATGACCTATGACCCTGTAGGAACTTATATCCACTGTATCACACCCTGTTTAATCATCACGGTGCTGTTGTACAGAGCGATCGTAGCACTAAGGTGATCATATCTCCCATACTTTAACATAGACTTACATACTACAGCCGTAGGGCTAAGGTTGTTATGTACAACAGCACTCACAGCTTTAACCTTTTATGGTTGTGTTGTAATAATTTTTGCTGCCACACATTGTTAACCAGGTTTATCATAGTGTTGTCAATGTAATAAACCAAATTGTCATTAGAAAGCAAACCTTGTCTTTGCAGTGACTGGTGCTAGTTTTGTGGTGTTTAATGGTGCACTGAAGACAAGCTCAGGACTACGAGCAAAGTCGAGCATAGTAGAGGACGGCCTGATGGTGCAGATCCTGCCAGAATGTATGGTGGCAGTGAAACAGGCCATCAAAGACATGACAGACTACACCATCGGCTGTGGCAGCGCCACAATTGACAAGCCGGAGGAGGTGGTGGTCCTTCAATGGGTGGACGACGACAAGAATACCAATGTTGGGTAGGTGGACCATGACAAGATCACAAATGTCAGGACAAGATCGCCAATATTGTTGTTGTTGTTGTTTTTGTTGTTGTTGTTGTTGTTGTTGTTGTTGTTGTTATACTCACAGTCTCCATCCTCATGTTATTTTGTCTGTTAATCCACCTTCAGTGTGAAGAGTCCTATTGACAAGATGTCCCTCGATGGAGTCGAGAGTATCCACATCCACAACTCCACCGACTACGTAGGGGAGCACCGCGCCATCCGTTGGACAGATGTCTTCTTCATCCAGAACGAGGACAGTGGAGCACGCTGGGAGCCGGTGGACCTGAGTCGACTGGCGGAAACGCTAGCATCAGCGACGTGCATCTGCCTCACACAACACCTGGACCGATTGAAGGAGGCAGGGACCATCAAGATAGGACTCCGGGTCACGCTGGACACAGAACAGGTGGGTGCAGCACACTTTGGTAGACTTCGGGTATGATTTGGACGTAAAGGTTTCATGTTTTGTGTACAATTTTGGAAATTACTGTCATGTTGATAACATATAAATTCTGCAAAAATAACCATATTTTTTAAAGCTATTTCTCATGAGTGATTTCTGAGGCCTTTCCTGCATCGTTGTTCTGATTGATGACAAACCTGATCCGCCTTGACCCGCTTCTTTGAAATTATTGACGCTGTAGAATTATCCACTGTTGATTATCCCCTGCCACGAAGTTGAAGGGGGATATAGGAATGGGTGCGGTCCGTCCATCACGTTTCATTTCTGGAGCAGAACTCAATTACTATGAGAGATATCTTAACCAAACTTGGCACATTGATAGGTCTAGTGGTGAACTGGCAATTGTAGTTTGGGAATTTTAAAAAAATATTTTTCGTGTTTCCATAGCAATGACTTTGACTTTGACTGGAAATGGCAGTTGTGCTCATTTCCGGACGGCTAATGCCTTACACACAACCGGACATGTCTTATTGGTGGGGGATATGAGTATTTCATGCTTGTTATGTTAGGTCAGCAGTATGTGTGCGACTCCTACATTACTTTTGGTGACCGCCTCCGTGATATCGTGGTAGAGCGTCCAACCGGAGAGTGGAAGGTCCGGGGTTCGATCCCCGGCCGTGTCATACCAAAAGACGCTAAAAGATGGTACTTGTTGTTACCCTGTCTGGCGCTCGGCATTAAGGGGTTAAAAGTCAGTATACTCGGGAGTCAGTATACTCGGGAGTCAGTATACTGTGTCTGAGTGGGGTATTCATGTTAAACTGGGGCATGGTATCTCAGTGAGCTAGCACTATAAATCGGCATCAGTCCGGACTAGTACAAGCAGCCACACAAACACACATGTACATGCACGTCGCTATATAAGTGCAATAATCTTGGAGGCGACATTAAACCCCATTTCACGTCACCTCACTTTTGGTTTTCCTACCACATTCAGTAGACATGCTATGTATCACTGTTCAGTGTACAAGGCATCATTATGAAGTATGGAATGATAATTTCCTTAGCTGTTTCTCACACTCAGATATGTTTTGGGGGGAACAAATCAATAAATCCAATAGAAATTCAGTCCTCTAAAGAGACTGAAGTGGCCTGATTTGTATACTTGCAGGTTGGGTACGAGATTGGATCCAATGGCGAGAAGCTGGCCGACTTCTACATGAACGACCTTGACAGTGGTCTGATTCCGGTGATTCATGGAGCAGTGTCACAGAGTCAGGACGGTCCTATTGTCCTAGAGCTTGTATTCTATGTCCTAGAGTGACTACACTGAACAATTACAGGTTGATTTTAGCTGCTTCCTGCCATGAACAAAAATATTCAAATCCATGCTCATTGCAAGTGCTTCTAAAGATGATATGAAGATTAGAAATGAGATACTACAGTATGGTATATTTGATCATCTTATAGTGGGCAACAGATATATTTTAAGATGAAGCACATTTGATGTAGACTTCATTGCCCTGTGTACAGAGTGGGGATTTGTGACACAGTTTTAATTTTTCAGTTACCTCTGAGAATGTATAGTCCTGTATGGTGTGTGAAGCCGCAACGTTGTGAATATTCCATTTTCTCTTTAATCATCCTCTCAGCACTAATAATGTTTTTTAATAAAACACAGTACACAAATCAGACCAGTAATATCAGTGATAGCCCATTGACAGTCGGGATGTGGATAAGACCGTTGTCCAAGAAATCAGAATTTGCTGTGCAGAGTTGCATACCTTACCCTACCAGGATCTGCAGGTCGTGGTACGAATCACTCTGATGATCCTTGGTTTGTCAGCACCATACCCATTCTTGCTTGATTTCACCCAAGTCGTAAGTGGTGATGATGTCACTTAGTGTTTTCCTCCCACAGTAAGCTGAAACTAAAGTCGCATTAAAACCAACTTACTAACTCTTACATTTTCATCAACCAATTTCCAAGTTTTGTTGTGGCTGGACTGTGGACTGACATTGTAGTGTAAATATTGCTCAGTTTTAACTGTAGATAATTTGTGTATATAGTGTTGAAACTCTATATGTATGATGCGGCCCATGTAATAATAGGAAATAAGTATTGGAAAATTCTCTCAAATAGACAAGGTTTTTTGTGAATATTGTGCATTATTGTTGTGTATTGTGTACGAAAACTGTTATATTTATTATATAGTGGGCAGATTGTTATAAACTCTGGAGAGAAATATATTATTGCAAAGACACAGATCTGTAAATGACATGTACAAATTTGTATCTACTATGTAAGTGTAGGTAGGTTGGCGTATGTAATCAGTGGTGTTCGTGGACAGAACGATGAGTCAGGACTCCAGCATGTCCAGGACCCCGTTCCACAAAGCGATCTTAGCGCTTAGGTGATCGTAACTCCCATACTTTAACATAGGTTTACGACTGTCATAGTGCTACTTTCGCTTTGAGGAACGGTACCCTGGACCTCAAACTTCAACATGTCACTGGATTCAATCTTTAATGCTCAGTATTTCTGTTGATGGCATTGTATGTGCCAGACTAACAGCCTCTCCAGACTGTGCTGTGATGGACCAGTTCATTGATGCAGTGCTTCAGGTTGACCCTTGGCTTTGTCTTTGCCCATGAGTGAACTGTGTGACACTCCCGTGTGAGGTGCATGGCTCTGGTCCATTACGGACACCAGGTCCATCGTTTTGAATGGAGTTACTTAACCTGAGTGGTGCCCTGAGCGGTGATCCTGGCTTCACCAGGCTACTACCTCACCTTCAGGTTGCCTCCTATGCTAGACCAGAGGAGGGGAAAACAACGATGCCAAGTGACAGGCTGTGAAAGGAAATAGGTTTAACTACCAAGAGCAAGGAGAAGGTTTGGGACAGCCCCGGTGTCTTATGTATTCATGCATCTGTTGGTCCCAGTGCCCATCTGTTGTTCCCAGTGCCCATCTGTTGGTCCCAGTGTCCTTTGTGTCCATCTGTTGGTCCCAGTGTCCATCTGTTGGTCCCTGTGTCCATCTGTTGGTCCCAGTGTCCATCTGTTGGTCCCTGTGTCCATCTGTTGGTCCCAGTGTCCTGTGTGTCCATCTTTTGGTCCCAGTGTCCATCTGTTGGTCCCAGTGTCCATCTGTTGGTCCCTGTGTCCATCTTTTGGTCCCAGTGTCCATCTGTTGGTCCCTGTGTCCATCTTTTGGTCCCAGTGTCCATCTTTTGGTCCCTGTGTCCATCTGTTGGTCCCAGTGTCCATCTGTTGGTCCCAGTGTCCATCTTTTGGTCCCAGTGTCCATCTGTTGGTCCCTGTGTCCATCTTTTGGTCCCAGTGTCCATCTGTTGGTCCCTGTGTCCATCTGTTGGTCCCAGTGTCCTGTGTGTCCATCTGTTGGTCCCAGTGTCCATCTGTTGGTCCCAGTGTCCATCTGTTGGTCCCAGTGTCCATCTGTTGGTCCCAGTGTCCATCTGTTGGTCCCTGTGTCCATCTTTTGGTCCCAGTGTCCATCTGTTGGTCCCTGTGTCCATCTGTTGGTCCCAGTGTCCTGTGTGTCCATCTGTTGGTCCCAGTGTCCATCTGTTGGTCCCAGTGTCCATCTGTTGGTCCCAGTGTCCTGTGTGTCCATCTGTTGGTCCCAGTGTCCATCTGTAGGTCCCTGTGTCCATCTGATGGTCCCAGTGTCCATCTGTTGGTTATGTGTGTCCATCTGTTGGTCCTAGTGTCATATGTGTCCATTTGTTGGTCCCTGTGTCATGTGTCCATCTGTCCATCTGTTGGTCCTAATGTCCTTTTTACTCAACTGTTTGTTCTAATGTTCTTTTTATCCATATGTTGGTCCTCTAAGTGTCCTTTGTGTCCATCTGTTGGTCCTCTAAGTGTCCTGGGTCCATCTGTTTGTCCTGTTTATCCATCTGTTGTTCCCATGGTCTTCTCATGCCCAAGCATGGTAGTGCGGTCACACTGGAGGGTGGGTCATGACAAAACGTGTTACTGTAAATATTGTATGTTAGTCTTGTATTTGTGAAGCTTTTAAAAAGCATTTCATCATCATCATCATCATCGTCATCATTACCTTGGGGGCGGTGGGCTGGCCTAGTGGGTGATGGGTTGTTTATCAAGCATTAAACAGGTTCAGTACTCCACAAAGGGGCTCAGTAGTACTGACCTTGCTCCAATACTGTTTTCAATAGCAGCTTCAATCCTACCCTCTCTCAAAATCCTCATCATCATCATCATAACCACTGCCCATCTTCAGTGTAGCACCATGCCATCATGTAGAGTAGACGTGTGATCGACAATTATTTCCAATCAATGCATGTAGATCCTTTACAGATCTTATTTCATAGGGCTTTATCGTGTTTGTTGTCAGTATATTGAGTTGCACCTGATCATCCTTTGTATGTTTGTGACAATAAGTTTGGGGTTTCCCCTGTAGGTCTACATGTGAGAAACTGTGTGTGATGTGTGAAAGTATGGTTCTCCAGGCTACTAGCTCAGACTCTGTGGACTGTTCAAATTTGTATCAAACAGGCAAGAAGATAGATCTTGTAACATAATGGTTAGAAAATATACCAAATAAGGCACAGGATATGTTGCATATTTAATGGCAATGAGATCAACAGTATTAAACTTGTAAAAGTTCCTTTGTGAAATAATTTGTATTGAATGTTAACCAAATTGTATGTTATATTACCATCAATAACATGAGTATGTCATTTCTTATCCACGAATAACTTTAATTCCCTACATGTCTTGGCATGTTTCATAATAGACTGGTTCTTTCTGGTTTGGAGAGAACCAGTTCAAGAGGTAGGTCTTTGTAACATGACACAATTGGTAGGAGATGGATGGAACTAACATCCTTCAGTGAGTGTTGCAGCTGTGACTTTTTCAGTGTATATCAATGTAGTTGGCGGAGCATCCCGATCCACATGATCCATACACCCCCAAAAAACTACAAATTCCCTAAGCATAAAACAATACATTTTCAAAAAAGAACTAATAATAATCGCACATTCCTTTAAGAGGTTGGTTTTCATGAGTAAGTCTGTATCTTGTATTTCTCCTCTTCCTTGAGAGTTATTTTTCAGTGTGTTTATGGTCTTCTGGACGCTTATCCTTACCTTCCCACACATCCGTTCATGTCACTCCCCCACAATCTGACTACACTCTGTCATGGAGTACTTCTATATCTGGACCTTACCCATAGCCTGACTACACTCCGTCACAGAGCACTTCTATGTCTGGACCTCCCCCACTACCTGACTACACTCCGTCACACAGCACTTCTATATCTGGACCTTACCCATAGCCTGACTACACTCTGTCACAGAGCACTTCTATATCTGGACCTCCCCCACTACCTGACTACACTCCGTCACACAGCACTTCTATATCTGGACCTCCCCCACTACCTGACTACACTCCGTCACACAGCACTTCTATATCTGGACCTCCCCCACAACCTGACTACACTCTGTCACAGAGCACTTCTATATCTGGACCTCCCCCACTACCTGACTACACTCCGTCACACAGCACTTCTATATCTGGACCTCCCCCACAACCTGACTACACTCTGTCACAGAGCACTTCTATGTCTGGACCTCCCCCACTACCTGACTACACTCCGTCACAGAGCACTTCTATATCTGGACCTTACCACTAACCTGACTACACTCCGTCACAGAGCACTTCTATATCTGGACCTTACCACTAACCTGACTACACTCTGTCATGGAGTACTTCTAAATCTGGACCTCCCCCACTACCTGACTACCAGTCTGTCATGGAGTATCTATATCTGGACCTCCCGACAACCGGACTACTCTGTCACAGAGCACTTCTATATCTGGACCTCCCCCACAACCTGACTACACTCCGTCACAGAGCACTTCTATATCTGGACCTCCCCCACTACCTGACTACACTCTGTCATGGAGTATCTATATCTGGACCTCCCCCACTACCTGACTACACTCTGTCATGGAGTATCTATATCTGGACCTCCCCCACAACCTGACTACACTCTGTCATGGAGTATCTATATCTGGACCTCCCCCACAACCTGACTACACTCTGTCATGGAGTATCTATATCTGGACCTCCCCCACTACCTGACTACACTCTGTCATGGAGTATCTATATCTGGACCTCCCCCACAACCTGACTACAACTCTGTCATGGAGTACTTCTATATCTGGACCTCCCCCACTACCTGACTACACTCCGTCACAGAGCACTTCTATATCTGGACCTCCCCCACAACCTGACTACACTCTGTCACAGAGCACTTCTATATCTGGACCTCCCCCACAACCTGACTACACTCTGTCACAGAGCACTTCTATGTCTGGACCTCCCCCACTACCTGACTACACTCTGTCACAGAGCACTTCTATATCTGGACCTCCCCCACAACCTGACTACAACTCTGTCATGGAGTACTTCTATATCTGGACCTCCCCCACTACCTGACTACACTCCGTCACAGAGCACTTCTATATCTGGACCTCCCCCACTACCTGACTACACTCCGTCACAGAGCACTTCTATATCTGGACCTCCCCCACAACCTGACTACACTCTGTCACAGAGCACTTCTATATCTGGACCTCCCCCACTACATGACTACACTCTGTCACAGAGCACTTCTATATCTGGACCTCCCCCACTACATGACTACACTCTGTCACAGAGCACTTCTATATCTGGACCTCCCCCACAACCTGACTACACTCTGTCATGGAGTACTGCTATATCTGGACCTCCCCCACTACACTCTGTCACAGAGCACTTCTATGTCTGGACCTGGTAACATGGTTGGATGTGTCAATCCTGTCATGTTGCACAGCAGGCAGTATTAGAAACTAACATGAGCACACTGCATCATCTCATAGCAGTCAAGACTTCCTTCAACCTTGCCACGATGTTTTTCTAGCATCAGAAATAAGATGCATTCACGTTGCCATCTCACCCATGGAAAAGATCCATTTGTACAGTAGTTCTTGTTCATCAGGGCCAGTAATTGTCTGACTTCTGGCCCACATTGCTAGTGACTTCTTTTGTCTTTATTCCGCAATGGGTAACCAACACTCAAGCTTATGAATGATGTTCTTAACTGACTTGACCCTGACCTTGTGAATCATAGGCTTGTCATTGAATGCTGTGATGGTTGGGTACATGTTATGTGCTGTCAAACAAGTGGCAGTTTGTTGTCTTTTGGCAAGGAAAAATGTTGTATGGACAAATGCTGGCAAATCCACTGAATTTAGTCAAATTAGGAAATGTAGCTATTTCATAGACTCATTACCATCTTTGGGATAGAATTCATTTCAATGTGTAATGATATCTTGCGTGCAGTGGTTCTTTAATCAAAACTTTTATCTCCCTCTGAAAGAAACATACTGAGCTGTTGGTTCCTCCACAAGCTGCTTCATGTTCCAGTATTACTGAATCGTTAGTTTGGTGGAGTCACGTACATTTCCTAAGAGGCGACGAACGGGATAGAGTGGTCAGGCTCCCCGACTTGATTGATGCATGTCATCGTATCCCAATTGCGTGGATCGATGCTCATGATGTCAATCACTGGATTGTCTGGTCCAGACTCGTTATTTACCGACTGCTGTAATATGGCTGGAATATTGCCAAGTTCAGTGTTTAATCAACAAACAAATGTGCATTTTGAAATGCTAGGAAATTGTTTCTCAAAGGGAGATAAGTAATTGTGCATCGGTCAGGTCAGTTCATTGTCAGTATACACGCCCCAGCTGTTACTGTTGAATTTAACATATTTAAATTTAGCTCAACTTGTTTTCAAGATATTTGTTGATCTGTTCTACAGTAATACCAGCCAGACATCACTTGTTGACTCTCACTGGAACATCAGGCTGTAGTCTGACTATACATAGCCACAATGTACCACCAGTACAATGCTTGACATTCAGTGTGTCATTGATGTTTTATTCAAATATACAAATCAAAAGAAGTTAAAGAACTCTCAATGCTTCCATATGACTATACTTAGTCATGGCTAGTGATTATTGCAACTCACAGCCTTCCATTGTGAGTATTCTTTAACTTGTTTTGTGTAGTACACAATGAGTAATTGTTTCAAGGAAGAAAGGTTTAATTTGACACGGCAACAGTAAATAATTAAATATTTGCTAATACGAGGTCATGTTTGAACAACATTATAATTATTTTCGGAAGAAAGTTTGAAATCCATAATCGGTGTATGCATGTCCTCATCTTGGAACAATCAGCTCGTCGTGCATAGGACTGGCGGCACACTGTTCACTTTTGTAATATACTACTCAAAAGAAGTTAAGGATCACCCGATTCTTTCATATTGGTAATGTTAATCTGTCATGGCATGAGAGATTAACTATTGTAATATGAAAGAATCAGGTGATCCTTAACTTCTTTTGAGTAGTATATGTCATGTAATCATTCAGGGATGAACTTATTGGTAGCTCCAGCCTACAGCAAGTCATATGAATCACTGACTGTTATTGTTGACCAGTTACATCTACACAGGCAGCCAGGCAGGCAATATGTTGGTCTGTTAGGGACGAAGCGATATGGTGGCTGCAGGTAGCACAATATGATATGTATACCAACTAACATAGTAGGTATGCAATCTATGTATTCCCAATAATAAAGTGAGTATGTAATACGATATGTATTCCCATCGATATGGTAGGTATGCAATACGGCATGTATTCCCCATTAATATTTTAGGTATGCAATACGGTATGTATTCCTATTATGTATTGTGGGTATGCAATAAATGTATTCCCAATAATATAGTGAGTATGTAATATATGTATTCCCATTAATATAGTAGGTATGCAATACGGTATGTATTAATATACATGATATAGTGGTTATGCAGTACAAATTATGTCATCTAATTCCCATGACAATATGGTTGGTATGCAATACGATGCATATCAACTACCGACTGTTTCACCATATCGTTACCACCCTTAATGTACTCCTAATTATGCCATAGAGTGAGTCATTGTTAAAACAGTTTGACTGTAGCCGCTTTGTACTGTTTCACGTAAGACCACACTTTTTTTAGTTCATGGTTAATGGATTTTTTGCTTGTACAGGTTGACATAAGAATATTCGATTTTTAATTTTTTTATTTTGGCATAATATTTCGTGGTTTAGTCAAAGTGAAACATTCTGTTTAAACTGAAGGAGGGTTTCACTTTAGTTTTTTATTTCTGTCAGAAGGGTACATTTGATCATGTATTTTCATTAAAAAAAATTAGTTTGGTTTGTAAGTGCATTAGTAACTGAAAACTAAGAACAGTCTTGCCTGAGGGGGGGGGATACATATTAATCAGCTGTTACATTGTTGTACCGTTGACCCCAGCTGGGACATGGACTTAATTGCTGAAAAGTGGCAATACTTAATTCATTAATGTCAGTCTTTGTTAACTAGGACTTCTTTCTGTGTACTTTATGTATAGGCAAGGAAATCTTCCTCTTATAATTGCAAGGTTATGCTGTTATCTGTTCAAGTTCACTGACAGTATGGCAACCATTGCCTCTTCATGTACCATCTCCTGTTCCTAATGGAATATTACACAACAGCCATGCTCATGGTGGGCGGGTAATATTAAAAACCTGGAACCTTATTTCAACCAACACCAAGTTTACTTTGGAATAATAATCATACTCTGAAATCGTAAGTGGTTTCAATTAGGAAACGACCTATTTGTTGAGATCTGAAGTTGGAGCATAATGACGAAAGTTCTTATCATGTTCCAGGAACAGGTGATGGTATTAGGTGATTTCTGCCAGGATATGTCATCAATACAGATGCATGTGTACTTGTCATCAGTTCCTGTGTACTTAGGACCACACACCTGTATATAGGTGGAGCAAGCTGGAGAGAGCGTGAGCGTGCGAGCGAGCGAGGCTGGCTGTGTGTGAGACTGGGCGTTGAACGTTTGACATCAGTGTCGGGGAAACAAGTGTCTGCAAGATGGGTGTGTTGAACCACCATGCCACACACATCGGTCTCGACAGAGAACACCCAAATGTACATACATATTTATTTTCTGGCACTGACCAAATAAACAAGTGTTTATAGAATCGATTTACAGGCTTCGTGTCTTTCTTTTAACGATTCTTGTCGTCACTCGTCACCCATCATGTTGTGAAAACTTTTAAAATATACAATGGCTTGAGAACTCCTGCACACACATACATACACACTGTCAGCAAATAGTATGAAATTCAATTGCATACCATATGACATGCTGCTGATATAGGTCACGATACAGTACACACAATGTACCTCAAGGTATCGCAAGGTATTGGCACTAATGTAATACCTGTCATCTGGTCAGACTGACAGCCACCACTGTTGGCAGTCAAAGTGTTCCACGATATTCAGTGTCTGTGATTCCTTGACACAAGCTTCATGACAGACTTCAGAGTGTTCCACCTCACGACGATGTGTACTCTACAACTGGCATTCATGCATTCAGATGTCACAGTTGATTCGTGTTCAACGCCGCACTCAGCAATATTCCAGCTATATGAGGCGGTCTGTAAATTATCCCAGTCTGTACTAGACAATCCAGTGATTATTATCATGAGCATCAATCCACGCAATTGGGATTGATGACATGCATCAACCAAGTCAGCGAGTTTGACCATCCAATCCCGTTAGTCGCCTCTTACGACAAGCATAGTCGCCTTTTACGGAGATGTCACAGTGTTCAGTGTTCACAGAAACAAACAAATGAAGCTTCACTGTCCATGAAGAGCCCACTGCCTGTTGTCCATCGAAAGTTCCCACACTGCATCAGACAATACTGGAACCACATCTTGCATCAGGAGAAATGGAAGCCGTCCTTGTTGAAACTGTTCAACAGCCTGGAAAGAAGATGAATAATCATGATAATCATGATATTAATAATTGCTCAATTTAAATATGCATATAACATTATCACTACTACTACTACTACTACTACTACTACTAAATGCATATTTAAATTTAGGTGTTCACTTGCCCTAAAACATGCTCATAGTGCTATACAATTATTACTAGTGGTGGGACGATGCATCGGTGGATCCTATATTTTACTTCCTGATGCAAGTATCGATCTTAGTCGCACACTAAGTACAAAATATTGATTCATACCATTAATGTTTACTTTAATGGCTGTTACACCAAACACTAATCAGTAGTGATTGAGTTTTGTTTTAGCAATATTCCAGCAACATCATGGCGGGGAACACCAGAAATGGGCTTCACACAAGTACCTATTTTTGGAATTGAACCCGGGTCTTTGGCGTGATGAGCGAACGCTTTAACCACTAGGCTACCGGACAACCCCTCACTAGTTGGATAATGTTAGGTAGAGACTACAGGAGGAAGTATGGGAGGAGGGGATCAGACGCCAGGAAGTCATCAATATCCATCGTGCGGGCTCGCTTCTTGTCAAAGCTGGTCTCTTCAAGAATCTTCACTACTTTTTCCTTGATGTCAAAATCTGCAGGTATTGTCTAGAAATAAACATGGACAAGTCGCTATCATGAACACCTTTTGACACATTAAGATGTATCACGAAAACGAAAAATAAATAGAACGTCCAACATCAATAGAATACACTTCCGTTGTGGAATCTGAGCACTGAGCAGTGCAACAACAAGCCAGTACTTACTATGTTATGACAGAACAATGAATCCGAGGGCAGCTCTGTCTTGAGGACGTCCCCCCACCATTACCTGCAGCTTGGTGGCCTGGGGGCTGAGACGGAAAACAACATGCATTCATTTGTGTAGTGTGATATGCATACAGACTATAGGGCTATTCCTAAAAAAACAGCATTGAAAACATTCTTTTTATCATTGATTTGAACTTGGGTTGTTTTTTTATCGAACCTCTTGATAAGACTCAAACCTAAGCATATTTACCCTCCAACACCTCCTATCATTGTCTGAAATAACTCCATAAATACAAGACCCAACATCTAAGAGGAGGTGCACTCACGTTCCTTGAACTCTCTTGTGCAGCTCCGCCACCAGACGGGGGTCAATCTCACAGGCCACAACCTGAAACATGAGACAATGTTAACCACCACTTGAAACATATGACATTGGTATCTACAACCTGAAACATGTGACATCGTTAACCACCACCTGAAACATGTGACACTATATCTCCCACCTGAAACATTTGACATTGTTATGACTGTAAGATCTTCCAGCAAGCCAGGCCATTATGTAGTTGGTAGAAAAGAGAAAGTGTTGCTATTAAGTAATAAGCAGCACTCACAAGTAGCCGACGCCAGTGCTCTAGATAATACTCTCAGTGAGTATTTACTCCTATGTAATCATTCTCTTTCACTCATTGGGTATTTATAATTTTCTTTTTGTTCAAAGTATACCTTTACTCCAGTCAAGTACTGGTCCAGTATCTTAGATCATATTAAACCCAACCATAGAAAGTTTGAATGATTGACCGCTGGTCCAGACTGACCTTCTTGACCTTCTCCAGCAGCTTGACCGTCATGTTGCCCGTACCAGGGCCGACCTCCAGGACCACATCTGTCGGCCGCAGCGCAGCCTGCAACATCACAGGGACTTTAACAATCAGCTGCCACGCACTTTCTTCCATCAACCAACTTGTAAACTATTGACTTATTCTCTGTGAAGTTTCCTTAGATATACATCTTTGTGTCTGTTTTTTTTAACATTGTTAACTCTAGTCCAACATAAATGACAATGTTGGATTGCGAATCAAAACAGAGAACATAGAAGATTCCCATCAACCAACTGTACCAGTTATCGCCATTGTCTAAAAAGCAGGTGCCACCTGACTACGCTCACTGCTTCAGTTATACAAATTACATTTTTTATTTTCTTTAGTTTCGCACTCAATTTTTATATTCATAAGATATGCCTGTATCCATTAGTTGTTTGCAAATTGACGTGAACCAATATTCCCCAAATTTGATTTACACAAGCTTATCCTTAACACTATGTACTAGGGATTTCGCGATATATACTGGCTACGCATTTTGGGGAAATAGCTTAATTAGGTTTCAGAATTGTATTTTGGGAAAGAAAGACAGACAGATGGTAAGCAATGACACAACTGAAAGTGCATCATCGTGTTGTTTGATTGTAGTTTACACGTGAATGAGTCACATGACATCGTCCACATGTCTTTTCTAAAGTTGTATTTTAGCAAGGTGATTTTATGGTGTTTTTTAATATTTCCTGACAAGAGTCAGTTTTGTTTATCATCTTTGGATAAATATTTCTAACAAGATGCAATCATGTACATGCTATACAGGGCTGGGACGAGTCCAAATTTACTACAGGGGTACCCACGCACCTATTTCCCGACCCTACCCAGGTACCCACTGTTGGTCTCAAGAGATAGGTACAAAATGTCCGATTGGGAAAAGTTTGACCGTAGCCCTGGACAAAATGTATTGAGATACACGTATAAATCGATCTGGTCATGCATACACTGACGTTGACTGAAGTTTTATCTTTATTCAAACATATAAAAGTCTGGGTGCATAGTCAGAAAGAAATGCAAACATTAGTGACTTTTAGTGTAACCATATAGTACAAGATCATTTTTGTCATTAAACAATATATATCACATGACCGGGTAGTTCTGTAGGTACCCGGGTCCTTGTCAGTACCCACCCAACCCAAGTACCCGAGTTACACGTCCCAGCCCAAGTGCTATAACAGGGAGTTGGCGATGTCAACTGGTCGCTAGCCAGTAACCATTTCTTTGAGTGCTGAGAACAAAATGATGTCCAATGTAGACTGACCTTCTCCACCATGCTGACAACAACCAGAGGGTTCTTGAGGATGTGCTGGCCGAAGTCATGCTTGAAGGTGATGCCTGCAATGACAGTGTGATTCCACGAGATTTGGATACTACCTTGCATTAAAATTCTGTAAAGTTATATCATTGGGTGTGTCTTGACCGAATCACCGGTAGATTCCAAAAAAAACGTGTGTACAGCTGATTGCTGTTTCCGGCTTTCTTTACACAAGGTAATCTTAATCCCTGGATGGAAAACAATGCCTAGCAGAACAAAAAATACAATTTAAACGGTAAATCAACATGTCTGGTGATTTTTTTATCTCAAATTTCGAATTTGTACTGACCAAGTTTTTCATTGCCCGTTCGTTTACCGGACTTCGCTGAAGGGGTAAGGTGTAATGTTTTTCTGCGCTTGATAAGCGAATTCTTTTTTTTTCTCCAGAATACTGAATCCGCTAGAGGTGGGTGCGCATTATACATGGGTGCGCACTATACTCAAGAAAATACGGTAGGTGATCCATAGCCAAAGAGATTCGTACCCACTGAAAATGGTTAACCCGTACCTAAAGTTCACATCAGGTTCGTACCAGTTTTGGAGCATTTGTACTTTATCTTGCTGACTCGAACGTAGATTTGGTTCACCAATACCCAGGACCTATCCATTTTCCCACTTTCATGACAATTTATTCATAGCACTATTGTCACACATTCAACCATTTGGTGCACTTTTAATTCATTAAACCCCATACATTGTTATACATATAACATTGAGGTATTTTAAATGGCCGTGGTGGCATATTGTTGTTTAAGTAAGTTTGGCTAAAGTCGTTCAAACACAACATTCTTTGTCTGTTGACTCCAATTTTCATGATTTATATCAATCTAAGAGTACTCTGATTGACCCAGGTGTCCATTAGGCATTATTTACAACATGTAGACCTGGACTGAAACTGGCACCAGACACAGAAGCGCAGTCGCCCTTTAAGTCTTAGTTTTCTAAGAAACTTACGTTTCAATTTTGGTCACCATTTTTGTCGTGATCATGTGTGCCTAAACCTGCTACATTTACTTTCCAACCAGCTACCCCTAAACGAAAGCTAATATCTGTAGATATATCTGAAGAATCGATGATAGGAGAAACATCGGCAGAAGGCGAAGGGAGATAACTCTATCTTTCATCCATACATGTACCCACCAGTAAGTGAAAAAGTGATCGTAAAATATCCAGCGTTACTACACCAGCTTCCAAGCTATACAACAGCTATCCATGGGTATGGAGTTCGGACTTTCCATTGGATATTCCTCTAGTAAATTGGGCTAGAACACAACGGTTCAGGGCAAATGTTCCCCTTAATATCTTAACTTGATAATAAATATTCTCGCTATAACAACTTCAAATTATATTAACACCAGACTCGGGTCACCTACCTTTACTGCTGTGTTGCTGTCACCTAGTCGTTGCTAGATCCAAGGAAGGAAAACAGACTCATGTGTATACGATTATTCTATTTTTATTTAGATATATTTAAGATATGGAATAGTATGTGTCCAAAAAAAAGTATTTAAAGCAGGGCCAAAAGTGAGCACAAAAACGGTTCTCCTATATCAGAGAACGGAATCAACTTAGAAATGTCAGTCAAAGAGTGAGCCTAAAAAAATGAAAAGACGATCGAAAGAGTGTGTCCAAACATAAACCAAAAGGGTGTAGCCAAAACAGTCCAAAAAGGAGAAATGCTTTATTACAGGGGCACCAAACCACATCCTCTCACACAAACACACATACAAACCACATCCTCTTATGCATATACTCAAAACACACGCGAGACACATCCTGTCGCACATGTACTCTTAAAATCAAACACACATGCACAACACATACACACTTACACACAATACTAGATGCAAATCACTCCAACTCCCATATACACATATGATTACACTCACCCAAACACACATGTGAAACGAACACTCTCATACATACACACTTAAACCCAATCACACATTCAAAACACACACTCACCCACATCACAAACTTGCACTTTTTGTCACACATGCAAAAACACATCCTCTCACACATACACTCTCTGTCACACATGCAAAAACACATCCTCTCACACATACACTCTCTGTCACACATGCAAAAACACATCCTCTCACACATACACTCTCTGTCACACATGCAGAAACACATCATCTCACACATACACTCTCTGTCACACATGCAGAAACACATCATCTCACACATACACTCTCTGTCACACATGCAGAAACACATCATCTCACACATACACTCTCTGTCACACATGCAGAAACACATCATCTCACACATACACTCTCTATCACACATGCAAAAATACATCCTAACACACATACACACCTACACTATCTGTCAAACAAGCAAAATACATCCTCTCACACTCACATTTACACATTTATTCTTGTACTCATACACACACACACACTGGATGAGAAATCTACGAGAAGATTCTCCTCCAGAAGGCAGCCACTCTCCTCAGCGCCTTCCTCAGAGGATGAACCTCTCGGTCCTCCACGAAGCTGTCGTCATCCTCGTCCTCGTAGACCCAGTAGTCACTGTCGTCATCACTAGGGGCAGGATAGTGGTCGACGTAGGTGATGGTGACTGGGGCGGGGAGCGTCTCACCGTGGTCAGGGCGGGCCCAGAAGGGGGTGAAAACATTCAGAGGGTTGGGAGAGGGGGTCGGGGACGCAGCCTGGGGACGCTACATCAGTGAGTGGGGAGGGAGGGAGAAAGGAGGGTCAGTGGGCGAGGTATATAGGAGGTTTTCAAATAACAATGTGGAAAAGAAAGTCAGTGTGATACACAGGTTACACATGCAATGAGGCGCTACAACAAGACAGAAATTCTGATCGACTGTTTGAATCATGCAATTGGAGGAGGGGGATCATGCAGTTATTTTTCAGGACACAATAACACACAGAGAAAATCTGCAATGGCAATAGTGTGCGTGGGGGACATCGACAAAAGCACTTAAGTGATCTATTCGGCGGCCAAATCCGAAACAGATGTAGATAAACTACATACACAGTCGGATTCCTCATCCAGCGACGGCCATAAACTCGCAGCAGGAGTGACATGATACCGGATCATGTCTTCCCGTGCTGAAAAGAAAAACAAACAAATTTAATAATACATTAAAATACATGTTCAATGAATATATCGAGTTAAGGAGTTCGAGTTAACGAGGTTACACTGTACAACTTTGATAAAAGACATCGCCCAGCCTCTAGTCAACAAATATAGATCTAGATATTTTGCTACACATCTCTACGAAAAGTTGTACAGCTCTTATTTACTCTTCAGAACCTGAATGGATTGGCGGACGGACGATCGGACGGACGGACGGACTGATGGACAGACAGGTGGATTAGGAGTAGAGAGTACTATCGACACTATGAGCATTTCATCATTGTGTTTATGTGTTTTAGTCATGTCATTCCAAGCCCGTTCGTTTGAAAGAGTAGTTTACGTTTAAATAGATATCAAAGTTATACAATGTCACACATTTGATCTATAATGTTTGAATAACATCGTCCGTCATATAGCTTTATCAGGACCGCTCTCATTTCAGAGCAGACAAGAGATTTAGAAGACACCAATTTCTGAATCAAATCAATTGCAAATGGCGGCCAGTGTCATCACCATCGGTACTGCTGTCAAACTACGGCCAATGTCAGTACTTATCTACGTTCTAAACACTTTAAAATACAATAATTGCATTCTTAAATACCTTGAATATGCAGCCTTGTAAACATCTTGTCAGTAGAAGATCTTGAAACGATGCTGTAGTCAACGAAATGCAGAGCGATAGGGAGCAAGAGCGATAGTGAATCTGTTCAAAACAGAAGGGACGTTGGCCACGACAACGGTAACTACGTTACCGAGACGAAGTCAGAACGAGGCGTCATCGTCCATTTCCGGCATAGCTAAACCTCTACGGCTGCATGTCTATGGGAGCCAAAGACTTTAAAAGGGGAAGCAGATAAAGTTGTGGTGACCGTTGCCGTGGTTACCGTCGTTGATAATAAGAAGGGCAGGTTCAGTTTGTTTTGTCCCTGAGCATTGTCTGGCTTAATTATGAAAATGTTTGCTAGTAAAGACCGTTCGACTTAACTGGGGACTGTTTGCTGGTGTGTAAGGCGCGATGTGTGTTTAAGGTTGGCGGGACGTCCGCACTTTATTGCCGCGGAACGACGGGCTGAGCAAGTCGCCTGGGAAATCCCATGCAAGCATCGCCACTGATACACTCAAAGAAATAGTCTGACATGGGTGGTCTCCCTTTGTTCATTGGTAGAAAAGAAGCCCATTCCCCTCACATACATGGAAGATAAAAGCCGTCTTGGCTGCTTGTTCATTCAGTGTGTTTGCTTGTTAATAGTGTATATGATGTGAGTAAGAAATTAACGACGGCCCTACAGTATAACGCAAGCTATATATCAGAACAGAACAGAACTTTATTCTAAAACAATACACACAGTGCCACGTGCAGAGAACATATATATACATCATTACATCACACACACACATATAATATGTACAAGTCAGAAAGCATATACATCCCAGCTCATCCACGTGTCAAGGCAACCCGTGAAGATCCGGGTTAGAATAGGTATTCACCATCCCATCCTTGTCATAAGAGTCGACTAACGGGATCGGGTGGTCAGGCTCGCTCGTTTGGTTGATGCTTGTCATCGTATCCCAGTTGGGAGGATCGATGCTCATGATGTCAATCACTGGATTGTTTGGTTCAGACACGATTGTTTACAGACCGCTGTCATACAGCTGGAACATTGCTGAGTGCGGCGTTAAACAAGAAACAAACAAACAATGTGTATCTTATCAGTGTGGGTGGAGAAATGAACACTTTGATGAATGTACTTGTGCATCGGTATGAAGGTGGCCGTTCATGTAGCAGTAATGATGATTTATTTAAGTATCATATTTCACATAGATGTTGTTGTTTGTTGTTTGTTGTTCAACACCGCACTCGGCATGAAGTATTCGCCTCTTACGACAAGCATATATCCCTCTTACAGCAAGCATGGGTTGCTGAATGCCTATTCCAGCCCGGATCTTCACGGGCCTCGCATATAGATGACATAAGGGGGCGAGGATGTAGCTGAGTGGCTAAGGCGTCGGCTCATCGCGCCTAAGGCCCAGGTTCCATACCAGATATAAACGCTTATCTTAAAGTCCTTTCCTTCATGGTGTCCTTCACCGTCATATGGGTTCCATGCGATTTTCGAGTTCAAATATTTAAAGGGCGGCTATCCCCGGGCAAATTGGCTGCTTTGGTAAGTTTGGCTCAAGTCGTTCAAACACAACATTCTTTGTCTGTTGACTCCAATTTCATGATTTATACAATCTAAGAGTTCACGAGTACTCCGATTGACCCAGGTGTCCATTAGGCATTATTTACAACGTGTAGACCTGGACTGAAACTGGCACTAGACACAGAAGCGAGGTCGCCCTTTAAGTCTTAGTTTTATAAGGAACTTACGTTTCAATTTTGGTCACCATTTTTATCGTGATAATGTGTGCCTAAACCTGCTACATTTACTTTCCAACCAGCTACCCCTAAACGAAAGCATATATCTGTAGATATATCTGAAGAATCGATGATAGGAGAAACATCGGCAGAAGGCGAAGGGAGATAACTCTATCTTTCATCCATACATGTACCCACCAGTAAGTGAAAAAGTGATCGTAAAATACCCAGCGTTACTACACCAGCTTCCAAGCTATACAACAGCTATCCATGGGTATGGAGTTCGGACTTTCCATGGGATATTCCTCTAGTAAGTTAGACTAGAAGACAGCAACACAACGGTTCAGGGCAAATGTTCCCCTTAATATCTTAACTTGATAATAAATATTCTCGCTATTACAACTTCAAATTACATTAACACCAGACTCGGGTCACCTGCCTTTACTGCTGTGTTGCTGTCACCTAGTCGTTGCTAGATCCAAGGAAGGAAAACAGACTCATGTGTATACGATTATTCTATTTTTATTTAGATATATTTAAGATATGGAATAGTATGTGTCCAAAAAAAAGTATTTAAAGCAGGGCCAAAAGTGAGCACAAAAACGGTTCTCCTATATCAGAGAACGGAATCAACTTAGAAATGTCAGTCAAAGAGTGAGCCTAAAAAAATGAAAAGACGATCGAAAGAGTGTGTCCAAACATAAACCAAAAGGGTGTAGCCAAAACAGTCCAAAAAGGAGAAATGCTTTATTACAGGGGCACCAAACCACATCCTCTCACACAAACACACATACAAACCACATCCTCTTATGCATATACTCAAAACACACGCGAGACACATCCTGTCGCACATGTACTCTTAAAATCAAACACACATGCACAACACATACACACTTACACACAATACTAGATGCAAATCACTCCAACTCCCATATACACATATGATTACACTCACCCAAACACACATGTGAAACGAACACTCTCATACATACACACTTAAACCCAATCACACATTCAAAACACACACTCACCCACATCACAAACTTGCACTTTTTGTCACACATGCAAAAACACATCCTCTCACACATACACTCTCTGTCACACATGCAAAAACACATCCTCTCACACATACACTCTCTGTCACACATGCAAAAACACATCCTCTCACACATACACTCTCTGTCACACATGCAGAAACACATCATCTCACACATACACTCTCTATCACACATGCAAAAATACATCCTTTCACACATACACACCTACACTATCTGTCAAACAAGCAAAATACATCCTCTCACACTCACATTTACACATTTATTCTTGTACTCATACACACACACACACTGGATGAGAAACCTACGAGAAGATTCTCCTCCAGAAGGCAGCCACTCTCCTCAGCGCCTTCCTCAGAGGATGAACCTCTCGGTCCTCCACGAAGCTGTCGTCATCCTCGTCCTCGTAGACCCAGTAGTCACTGTCGTCATCACTAGGGGCAGGATAGTGGTCGACGTAGGTGATGGTGACTGGGGCG